AAAATTGAGAGGATAATAGTACATATATACTATATAGTGGTTAAAAGTCTTAAGTGACTTAACATGTTAATTACTTAGAACAGTGCTTGATACATATAATAATAGCTATGTGTTAGTTGATTATTATTATTATTATTATTATTATTATTATGATTACTTATTTCCTTCACAAAGGAATACCCATTTTTTACTGCCAGGCCTCAGGGTAATTGACCCATCTCTAATTATGTAAAATTCTGTATATGCTCATGCGTTTTCTAAAACAATTTTATTGAGATATAATTGGCATAAAATAAACTTCACAATTTAAAATGTATAATATTAGATGTTTTGATAAATGAATATACTCACAAAACCATCACTATAAGTAAGATCATGAGTATATATATCACCCCAAAAAGCTTCCTCATTATCCCTTATAATTCCTCTGGTGGTCACAAAGATTTTACCTATAATTTTTTTCTAAATAGTTTTTACATTTTACATTTAGGTCTATGATCCATTTTAACTTCATTTTTATGTGTAGTACAGTGTATGATTCAATTTCATATTTGTGTTTATGGATATTCATTTGTTCCAGTATCATCTGTTGAAATATTATCCTTGGAATTGCCTTTACACCTTTGTCAAAAATCAATTGACCATTTATGTGCAGCTTTATACCCTATTCTATTGATCTATTTTTGACTTGATACTATCGCCATACTCTCTTAACTACTATGCCTTTTTCGTAAGTCTTGAAATTAGGACCTGTAAGTACTCCAGCTTTACTTATCTTTTCCAAAATCACTTTGCCTATTCTAGCTCCTTTGCATTTCCATATGAATTTTTAGAATCAGCTTATAAATTTTTGCCAAAAGCATCACTGAGATTTTCATTTGGATTACATTAACTCTATGGATAAATCTGGGAATAATCAATCCATTAACAATAATGTGCCTTCTGATTCATAAACACAGTATAGTTCATCACTCATTCAGCTAGTTTCTCTAAGTAATGTTTTGTAGTTTTCATAAAATAGATGTTACATATTTTTTGTTAAATATATCCCTAAACATTTCATGTTTTTGCAGCTATTATATAATAAATGATATTGTTTTAATTTTAATTTCTGATAGTTCATTTATAATACATAAAAATACAATTGGTGCTTGTATATTAATCTTCCATCTTGTAGCCTTGATAAATTCCTTTTTTTTTTTTTTAGCTCTCGGATCTTTCTGGAAATTCTATAACATCTTCTATATAGATTATCATAAGGTCTGTGAGTAAAGATAATTTTGCTCAGTAACTCCCAAGTGGCATGTCTTTAATTCCTTTTTCTTGCTTTATTGCACTGGTTAAAATTTCCAGTACAATGTTCAATAGAAATGCTAAAAATAAACATCTTTGCCATTTTTCTGATATTAGGAGAAAAGCAATCAGCTGATTATTTGCATATGCCTTTTATTAAGTTGAGGAAGCTCTTACTTTATTCTTAGGTTTCTGAGTTTTTATCAGGAAAGGTGATGGATTTTGACAAATGTACTTTCTAAACCCACTGGGATAATCACATAGTTTTCCTTTGTTAGTCTATAAATATGGTGAACTACATTGACTTTTTTTTCAAATGTTAAACTAACTTTGCATTTTTTCGATAAACCTTACATGGTCATAATATATATTTTATATATTGATGTTTTGATTTGGTAAAATTTTATTAAGAATCTTTTTATCTATATTCATGAGGGATATTGGTCTGTGGTTTTCTGATCATTCTTGCTAGAGATATATCAATTTCACTGATCTTCTAAAAAACAGCCTAAACATAATGGATTTTTTTCTCTTTCTGTCTTTTCTGTCTTCAATTTCAATAATTTCTGTTCTGATCTTTATTATTCACAATATTCCCTTTATTTCCTTTAAAATTCATAGAATCTCTAGGGATCTGTCTCTTATTCCTGTTAATGATCATTTCAGAGAACAGAGTCAAAGGGACAAAATTCAAGAGATTAATTTTTACAGGTAACAAAATAAACAAAAGTAAGTCTGGACAAAGAACTTGAGTATAGGAAGAATAAAGCATTGTGTCAAATAATTATGCAATTTCAAATCTTGATAAAGGACATAGATACTTTGGGGTTTTTTCTGTTTTGACCTACAGAACCTAATATAAGAACTCTTATTTTCTTGCAATTTTTTAAAAGGAGATATATTCATTATTTACCTTGTTAGGAGTAATAAATTTGTTTAATTGATATTTAATCATTTATCTGAAATTTTCTGAATCCTATTAAAAGATTTTCCATTTTTTTGTCAGTATTAACTGTAAGCTTGAAGGCAGTACTTGTGAATATCACTTAGTATTATAGTTATTTGTATATCTTTCTAAGTTCACTTTTTGAGAGGAGGGAAGTTTTCTTATTTACCTCTGAATCTCTAACATTGACTACTATAGAGCATTACTTAGAGAAAATTCACTTACGTAACAAACAGTATGGAGTGTCTATTAAGTCCTAGGTACTTTATGGGGTTTTGGGAATGCAAAGATGAGTAGACAGTGACTGAGTGGATGCTTTCTTTAGACCAGTGGAGAAGACAAACAGGAATCAAATCATCACACAAACAGATGTAAACTGAACAATGAAGAGCACTGGATGGATGATTAGGTGACATTTCTTATACAAGCTATTTCTAAAATGATTAATGAAGAGAATCCTATAACAAAGAGAAAAACAGAGCCTCTGATTCTAACATACACCACATTTTTAGAACCACTTTATCCAATACCTCAAACAGAATTTCCTTCAGAAGTAACTTTTGAAGAACAGAAAGTATACTATAGGATACCTCACAATATGTTTCAGAACTTAAGACATTGTCCCCATTGGACAAGAAGAAAGGTTAAAAGGCATCTTCATGGTGGTCTCATGAAGGTGAAATAGCCTTCATGAAGAAACATAACATTTAAAGCCATTTTGTGAAAATATAAACACTGAAAATTAATATAGATATAGTAACTTCAAATCAAATACTAATGTGAAACAAAATTTATTAAATGAAAGCATATACTCACTCATTTATCAAGTATCTACCAGGTATCTATTATGTGCAAGTATGTCCCAGGGCCTAGAAATATAGCAGCGAAAGTCCTTGTGCACACGAAGGGGATGACTTAGGGGTGGGATGAACAAACAAAAGACCACTTAGAGACTTCTGATTCTCCACAAAGGCAGCCTCCCATACTGGTGAAACACTACTCTGCCCATCAAAGCAACTTAGAATCTTTACCTGACCCACAGAGATCAGAAGCAAGAAATATTTCCAACATAATGAAGTACGCTGTGCTCTCTGTGTTGTTGCATTAGTGCCACTCTGTACCCTTCTAGTCCTTCCTTGACTGTGATTTTCAACCCTGTTTAGCACAGTGAACCTTATTCGCTTGCTTCATTATTCCAAACAACCAAAGCATTCCGCAGCCAACCTAAAGAAAAGGGAGACTTTTCTCTATTTGCAATTTATATCTACTTCTATGTAGTAGCTTGAGCCTGGGTTTCAAAGCTAAAGCTTACCTTTGCCACAGAAATAGGGTAAAAATATCTATGTCTAGTCTGAAAAGATCTAGTCCATCATCCCTGGTCATATGATTTCAAGTAAATCTCCAAAGAAACCCAGTTTTGTCTCCTTCAAGCAGTTTAAATGCTTCCAAAATGTCAGAGTTTCTCCAGGAGCAGTAGGTTTTTGTGTAAGCTTTATTAGGACCATTACTATGCTTAGAGGCTTCAAACTATAGAATAAAAAATAACCTCTTCTGCCCTTTCAAACACAGAAAAGAAAAGATTCCAGGTAGATAGCTTCACAACAGTTCATTTCAAAAAAAGGCACCCAATTATATAGACTCTAATTACTGATAATAACTCAGAAATCTTAAGAAATTTAACAACTTCAGCTCAAAACAATTAAACTGGACTGTTGATAAAATCACCCCCTAGACTCAATATATGAGCTACAGATGCAAAGAGAGTGAGAAGGCCTTCTGATTGGTTCTCTCTTCTATTCCCAGTCCCCAATGCCAAACACATCAGATTGCAAATATTAAGGCTTTGTAAGAATTATAATTCATAAGAGAAACTTGTTTTTAAGATAAGACTATTACATTTGATTTTTCAATTTTGAATCTTGAACCTTCCATAAAGATAGACTTGATGATAAAAACATAAGAAACACTTTCCATTCTATGTATGTATGTGTGTATGTATGAATGCATGTTTGTTTGTATTTCATTTATGTAAGTCAAACATAAGAATTAGGCCTTCAAGTAATAGATACTGATTTCAAGGTCACTTGGGGAATGCAATCTTCTTGGTTTTCTGGATAAGTACCTGTTCTATATTATAATAAAACAACTCTAGTCACATATATTTTCTTCATATAGCAATAGCTTGAATCACAGTAAATTTGGAAAATTCTTCAAAGAGATCCCTACCTCTACCTTGAGCACTGCCTTAAAACACTTGAGGAAACTTGCTGGTTGTCAGCAATGCAACTCTATCAGAAGGAGCTCTAAGCAAGAACAATGGAGATTGTTATACAAATGTTGTATCATGTAAAAAAAGATAAACAGTACACTTTTTTGCATTGCCTTATCAGCAGAACATACACATTGCTCCACATGCTCTGAATGTGGTAAGCTACCTTCCAGAAAGATATTGTTAGGTCACTGTACGATTAATAAATATCATTGGTGAAGAAATGATGGAAAGAATTAATGGCTTAATTTGGTAAGATTAAGCAAAATATCCATGTGATTTTTTTAAAAAAAGACCATGAGATACACTTAAATGCATCTTATTAGTAGACAAATAAATCTCTTAGTTATGACAAATGGAGCTTCATTCAGTGCTTGGAGATTTCTATCCCTTGAGTCAATAAAACCACTTGTAACATGAACACAAGCCCTGAAAGAATTTTTTCCTGAGAAAAATGAGAGACCATTATGCTTTAAAAACAAAACCACTCACAGAGTCCTTTCCCATCTTCTTCTGAAGCCTCGTCTGCCACTGGACGGCATGCAGGACAATGGCTTCCCACCTCCTTTCGAGATTGACGATGATCAGCTGCATGGGCTGGTGGTCTGCGCTCAGGTCGCAGGTCTCCCCCTCATCCAGGAGATGCTGGCACAGTCGCAGGATGGAGGCCACTCCACGGCGCCGCTGCTTGATTTCACGACACAGGGACTGCAACACAGAGAGGGACCAAGTCGTGAGTGTTTGCAGGACAGATTCCCTAAGATATAAAACACACTTTCCCACCCTAATTTTAGGCTGTAGTGATATGCTCAGCTGTGAACAATTGAACAAGAAGGACTCTGCAGTCGCCTTTAGATTAGAGGTCTCTTACAGACAGATACCCAACTAATGCCAAAGAATTTAGCTGCTCACCAATCCTCTTCCCTTTTTCACTGATTTTGTCGTCTGAAGTGTCAGGTCTCACCTTAACACCCAGGTGTTTAACAATTATAACTTAATGAAATAAGTCATTAAGTCATATGAATGCCAAACAGATTATACATTTTGATTCAAAGTCCCAGGAAACACAAAACACAGAAGTTCTCAGAAAAGACATTTTTTCCAAGTTTACTTTCAGATATTTTTGGAGCCAAAAGCTTAGTCTTCTACTGACTGGGAATAAGTTAAATAAGATTGTAAAGAACTTTAATATATAACATCTATTATTTGACCAAGAAAAAAAAGCATTAGCAACATTTCCCTTCCAAAGCTTGATTAACAAAGCAGTAATGTTCTGAAAACAGAAATTAGGATACTGGATTATTACTGCACTATTTGTTGCTGTGTTTCTTTTAATAGCTATTCACACTGTTTAAGAAGGATATGCATGCATCAAAATAGCATTTTGCCCCAGAAACATTTGTACTGCTGCAGTGACCCTAAGCTGAATGATTCAAGCAAAACAGTGGATACATATGTCAAAAATATTATATCTTTTCATTGCCTACGGATAGTGTGTAAGTGATAGTCTAATTCAAAGCCTTCAGGAGAAATGATTATATCTGCAAACATCTCTGAATTACTAATCTCCTGCTACTGCCACAATTGGACTGTTCCAACAGTTAACAGATTGCTTATTAATCAACAAGGGTAAACAAGACAATGCAATTTCATTTAGTGTGAGAGTTTTAATGCCTAAAAGTATTTGTGCTTAAAATGTTAATCTAGATAAGGTTTCATTAAAAGTCTTAAAATGATTAAGTGTGGTTCATTGAAATGTGCATGGAGTGGTAGTAGATCAGCAGGTGGACATTTCATACAGATGTTCCACTTATTGATATAGTACACGCTATAGCCGTTTAAATGACCCTAACTCAGTAATAGCTTGAATTCTATTATTCCTGTAATGAGAGAACCCTGGACCCTTAATATTTATGAATTTTAAATAAGGTGAATGACAATTTCCCAAACCTCTATTTATGGAAAAATATGACTAGGAATTTTATTATTCAATTTCACCAATGTGGCATTTTTAGTTACGTTTTCTGAACTTTCCCTTATTTCTTTTCCTAGGGTTCATTACTATTTTCCTACATAACTCCTGATATAATCACGAGGTCTGACAAATTTCTTTACTGATGCAATTCATTAGCTCTATGCTGAATGAGGAGAAACCCCCAAACATTCAAAGATAAAACCTGAGGTCTACTAAAGTAGCAGGCACTGTGTCCAACTGTTCTAATCCTGCTAACTGTCCCACCCCACATGCATTCTCTCTCCTTCTCTCTCCGTCTCTGAAATTTGAAACAGTTTTTTAAAAAACTGTTGACATTCAATATTTGATTTTTGAATGTTCCCAATTGTGCAAGTTTTTTTAATCTCCAAAGAAGTTAGTCTATATTCTGGATTAATATTTTATCCCATAGGCACACTTGGGGAATAACAGCACTTTAAAAAGGAGGGGAAAATTGGGAACTTTACACAGCCAACTTATTTTTTAGTACTTTTTTATATTTAGAAGATAAAGTTGATAAAGTTATATTCTTCTATATAAACGGGTTTCCATGACAAGCACTAAAATATAAATATTTATTTATAATAGTAAAATAAAATCAGTATTTCTTAGAATTAGTAGTTTCCATTATTTCCATGATAAACTATGCATAGAGAAATGTTAAATATAACTACATGGGAACAAATGATTATATTATCTTTGGCTTACATTTTCAGGGAAAAGTACTTTTAAACAGAAACTCAAGCTAAACAAACTAAGCCACAGAAATAAGACAAATTTATCCCTGTCTCCTGGACCTCCTCAAATGTATATTGCACCTTACATCTGCTAGGCATTGTTTCAGGCATGGAGGCTTCAAAAAGGAGCAAGTTAATGTTCCTTCTCTCAAAGACCTGAGAGTCTACTAGGGCGGATTATACAAGTAGGATACCAAGAACAGTGCAGAAAGGGGGGCACTAACAGGATTTTTGCTATTGGAGGAGTTGGTGAAATCTTCAGTGTGAGGCAGATGGTCCAAGTTGGGTGGTGGTATTTAGAAGGTCCAGGAGCAAGTAGCCTGGGGCAGTAGAGTGCCCAGTGTGTAGGGGGTGAGGGAAGAGAGTGAAGCAGCTGGAAAAAGGAGACCAGAAATTTTTGGAATGCTTTTCATTATCGCCAATTTTGAAGAATTTTCCTAGATTACTAAAGAAATCATGTTGGTTCCCAAGAGTGGTCACATTGTCTTCCCAGAAAAGTATAAATACAAAAGAAGAAAACTTAAAAGGAAAAAAACCCCAGTTAATTATTAATATGCCTAGGAAAGAGATTCCAGGCGCCTTTGTGTTTAGTTATCCTTATTATTTGGTAATCTTTAGGCAATTTCTTCCTACAGGGCTACCTTAGTTGGTATAGAGGTAGTTGTCTTGGTATCATCTCAGAATCCAATTGTTGGGATACAGTTTGATGTGCTACCTTTAAATGACTAATGACCTACTTTATTTACTTATTTTGCATTTCTATTCAGTTTTTTCATGTTACTAAAAAGGCAGTTTTGCTATAAAAAATGAAACCTGTAGAAAAAAATCAAAATTTCTAAATTGTTTTTTTTCTTTACAAAAGATTGGAGATCTTTTATCAGATCTCCAATGCTCTAAACACATCTTTTTAGACATGTTAACAAGAAGTTGCCAACAGGCTGAAGGTTTTTGTTTTATACTTGTAGGCTGTCAATTTGATTTTTAATTCACCACTGGTGGAGCAAAGTGATGTTTTTGATTATTTTTCCTCTCCATATTTCTTCTCTCAATTTGTTTAACCATCTTAATCACTCATATTATCAAGCCAAATGTGATATAACATCATTCCTGACATTGTCTTTAGTTTATCATCATTAAAGGTAAGGCATTCAATATTAGTACTTTTTTCCATTATATATTAAATGTATGTATAATGCATATTGCATAAAATGAGTATATTTGCTTGTATAGCCATATTCTTGACATTAAACAATAGTGTCATCTCTTACAAAAGTACATATGTAAGCTTACAATAAAAAAAGTCAAGGAACATATAGCAAAGACTCATGGACAAAATCAAAGGGGAAGAGCTGAGGGAGGGAAGGTGGGAGGGGGCAAGGGAAAGAGGTGGGGGGGAGGCAGAGACAAATGTATTTAAAAAGTAAATAAATTAAAAAAAAATTTTTCAGGAAGAAATTAAAAAAAAACCTGTAATTACACTAAGAATCAAAATGTGCAGTAAGTTAAATTAAGAACCAAATAGGGAAAAGAGATAGAGGAGGAAAATAATATTTTAAAAATACCAAAAACAAGCATATGTTAAAAAGAGAGAACAAATAACTTTAGCTGAGAAACTCCATAGTAATTTATCTCCATATCTCTTACATAATTTTATTCAGCAGGTTAATGTAACATCATTAGGTAAGTTTATATGAATAAAGTGGTATAACTCTAAGTTGTCTGTCAAAGAGAAAAAGAACTATGGAGCAATTCCACTTATAAAGACAAATATGACTTTGCCCTTTAGATTGATTAACTGTTTAATGATACCTATTGAGTGTGCGTTCTGTGTGGCAAAAACAATGAATTTGAGACCATCACATATGATATGTACCCATCTTCAATACAGTTGGAATGTGGAAATATATTGAGAAGGGAAAAGTGAAAAAACACAGGTGAGTTCTTCTACTTTAAACAGTGTCAGGTGGCTAGCTCCATTTCTCTGTTGCAAGGGTCACTCGTACTTTTTCATGCCTTTGTTTTCCTTTTTTGCATTTTCTGTATTTTACCATTTCAATTTCATGAAGTGGGTAACTATCTTCTCTTGGTCTGCTTACCTGTGACCAGATTTTCTAGAGCAAAGTTTCTTAGAGTGTGTTCCCCAGGCCAAGCAGCATTAGTAACTCCTAGCAACTTGGAAATGCAAATTCTCTGGTATTACTCCACATCTTTTGAATCAGCAATTCTGGGGGTGATCACGATACACACTACATTTGGAGAGCACTGGTCTACATGAAACAGAGGACCTTGGCATTTCAGATAAGAGAATCAATATAGTTAGACTAGATTTTTTTTAGAAGTATAGAATAGAAGTTACAATTTCTAATTTTGGGGTCACACTGGTAGGCAAGAAGCTAGGAACCATAGCCATTGGTGATCAATTATTTTGTTGTTATCAAACTGAAAAAAACTGACTCAATCAATCAATCAATAGACCTTTTCAACCAGTGTTATCTTTATATTATTACTATTTATATGATGATCTCCAGAATTTTCAATATAATTATTAAGAATGCTGATATATTAGATTTTTTAATACCATATTTAGGGATTTTGCCCTTTTTGTCATTTTTTTACAATTTTATTTTAATTTATTTTTTCAAATACATTAGTTTCTGCCTCCCCCCCACCACTTTCCCTTGCCCCCTCCCTCCTTCCCTCCCTCAGCTCTTCCCCTTTGGTTTTGTCCATGAGTCCTTGCTATATGTTCCTTGACTTTCCCCTTCCCTTCCTTTTCCCCGATCCCCCTCCCTCCTTCCCTCTTGTCTCTGTTGATTTCTTTTCCTTTCAGTGTTGCTGGTCTTATTTTCCTTGCATCTTTGTATTGTTGGTTAGGTTCCGCTTATAGGTGAGATCATATGGTATTTGTCTTTTGCCCCCTGGCTTATTTCGCTTAGCATAATGCTCTCCAGTTAATCAAAGGAATCTTTTAGTAATGA